AAATAGAAGGGATACTATTCAAAAAGAAGGGGATTATGGGAATGAAGAGAAAGGGAAGGGGTGATAAGGCTAGAACAATGATCAGAGTAGGTAATCAACAGGCATTAATGTGCCAAATGAAACTCACTATTATGTATAACCAATACAGTAATAAAAGTTGCAACCACAAAGGAGACTGCCCTTGGCTTGGAAGAGAGGAAGAGAGGTCCTGGCAAAAGGTGAGAACTGCATCCAGTTCTTTGCAGCCCCCTGGGAGGAGGTGGGGCAGGATCTGCCATAGATTCTCACATCCACAGGCAGGCAAGGGAGCAGCAGGGGGCAGGCGTTGATTCCTGGTAGGATAAATGGGGACTGGGTCTTCACTGTGATCAGATGGACCTCTGCAGAACTTCTGAGTTTTAAAAGATTGCACCAAACTGTTACTTATTTCTAGCTGGGCAAGGCGGCACATGCCTATAATCTCAGGACTTTGGGAGGCTAAGGCAAGGAGATTCTTGACAAATTCAGGTCCTAGTTGCGTGACTTTAACATATTCCCACTGGCTTGGACCACCAGTGGAGTATGCATGACTGTCCCAGTGGATGGCTCGCACCTCCGGCGGTATAAACGCATCAGCCATTATACTAGCAAAATTAACTAAAAAGTATATAAAAGGACCAGGTCTAGTGAACTGCTTGAAATTGAATAATTGCTATCAAAAAAAATAAATGCTAGTTGTTACTACTTGTACCAGCTAAAATTATTATAATAATCAAAAAATCTATTTCATTAGAAGAACTTTTTCTATTCTGAAATAGTTTATCAATAATTAGTCCTCTAACTTCAGCATGGAAATCTTACAAGCACCCTTGCTGCTGTGTATAATATAGCGTTACAACTGCTGTACCACAAGTTAGCTGTATTATAATTTTATACAATTTTAACGTTTTCCTCGAGGAGCTGCAAAATAACGACATCTGATATACTAAATCAGTCCTGTTCTTTGCTTTAGTGTAAGCAGAGTCCCTGAGAAGCGGGTATAAATGGCCCAATGGGACAGTCATGCATGTATCTTCAATGGTTCAAGCCAACAGGATCAAACCAATTCAAACCAGAGCCACCTGGCAGTGAGACATAAAGAGTGTCCCCTCACCGTGAATGTGGTAAGGAGACCCTCTCTCAAAATAAAGAGGGGAGACTGGGGATGGAACTCAGTGGTAGGACATCCCCTAGGTTCGATCCTCAGTACCACAAAAAATACATATTTCAACAAATACATGAAATGATGTCCATCACTACTACTCAGTAGGGAAATGCAAATCAGAGCATAACAACACAACATTTTATCACCGTTAGAATGGCGACCATCAAAATACAGAAAACAACAAACTAGAACAAAATAGAAATAGAATCAATGTATATGATCTCTCCCACTTATGGGCATATACCCAGAATAATGGAAAGCAAGGTCTCAGAAAGACCCTTACATAGCCAAGATCACAGCAGAATTATTTACAATAGCCAAAAGGTGGAAGCAACGCAAGCGTCCCTTGATGGATGAATAGTTAAATAAAGCGTGGCATCGACATAAGGTATAATGTTACTCAGAAGGGAAATTTTGACTACTCAAGCTATAAATGAGCCACAAAGACAATGCTAGAAAAAATAAACTAGTCACAGAATGCTGTACAGTTCCTCTTATTATGGGCTATCTAGAGTAGTCACATTATAAAGTTCAGAGTGGCTGCCATGCACTGGGGGAGGGCAAGTAGGCTTCTATGATTTGAGCATACGTGTCCTCCAAATTCATGTTGAACCCTAATAACTAACAGGATGATAGTAAAAGGAGACATCTTTGGAGAAATGACTGAATAACAAAAGTATGGATTAGGGCTTGGTAGGTTTAGACCTAGGCTGCCTCCCCAAAGTCTCATGTGTTTAGAGGTGGGGCTTTGGAAGGTGATTGGATCGTGGGGCTCTAGACTCATCAGTGGAATAATCCATGGATGAGTTCAGAAATGAAGGTGCTCTTAGAAAGTAGGGCCCTGGGCCGGGGAGATGGTTCAGTGGAATAAGCACTTCCCTGGTAAGCGCGAGAGCCTGAGTTCAATCCCCGGTTCCGCAAAAAGAAAAGAAAAGTAGGGCCCTGCTAATAGGGCACAATCTGGAAGAGTCTACTACTGCCCCTTGTTCCTTTCTCTTTATCTGATACCCAGCTATAATGGATTAGACATATTTCCTATGTCATTCTGCCTGGAAGCCAAATAACTATGCCTGAACCCTTTGAAGCCCTAAATCAAAATAAACCTCTCTTCCTTAAATTGTATATAGCAGGGATGTTGTCCCCAAAATGGGAAAGTGGTTAATGCAGTGACCTTGTGAAAGAGGTTGAGGGAGGTATCAGCTGGCCCTCTTTGGCCCTTCTATCCTTTTTTCCCCATAACAAGGTAGGGTTTGTTTTCTCCAAAGGACATAGAAATAAGGTAGTGTCTTGAAAACAGAGACTGGGTCCTCACCGGACACTGAATCGTCCAGTGTCTTGATCTTGGATTTCCTAGTCTCCATAAGTGTGAGAAATAAATTTCTGGTCCTTACACATTTTGTCACAGTAGCACAAACAGACTAGGACTTGAGAAGTCATTACTGAATAGAGAGTTTCAGTTTGGAAAGATGAAGAGTTCTGAAGATGAATGGTAGAGAAGGCTGAGCAACACTGTGAATATATTTGTGAATACACACTGAGCTGTACATTGAAATTTTTATGTAAATGTTATGTTATTTATATTTAATTACAATTTTAAAATATTCTTTACCATGACTGTGTTGTTTTTACATTGGGCAGGGAGCCAAATTGTGTGAGTAAGTCCTATTCTGAAAGCTGTTGATCCAGAATGCAAAAAAGTCAGTAACAGCCAGAAATTTCTTTCAGATTTCCAAGTGTGCTCCTCACTTGCTGGTTTCCATGTTGTACATAATGGGAGATAAAATTATCTCCTAAGGAATCATTAGAGAGTGACCTGGGTAATGGGTAGTGATAAATGATTATATGGTAACGCAGAGAATGAACCAATCAGGAAATGTTTAAAGAGCTGCCACTAAAGCCTAGGTGAAGTTGAAAACCACACATTTTTCCAAGCCAAAATAATCTGTCAAAGATTTCAGGTTTTTTTTTTTTTTTTTTTCGTAGTAGGAAATGTAGGCTTCAAAATGCTGGCATTTTGGGGACACTGTGATGGATTGAGGAGATAAAACTGCATATTTTGGATTTCACAGCACCCCCACCAGGACATGTGATCACTGAAAGGAGTTTAGAATAGCCAGCCACACAGAACACTTCATTCTAGGAAAAATGTTGTTATCTGTAATTTAATTTGTATGCTTTGCAGGGCTGGAAAGATGATCGTGGTGGAAAATGTTAGCGCTGCAGCCACATGCTTGCTTTCTTAACTCAGTTACCAAGTACTGTGATTTGAATGTGTCCCTCAGAGTTCATGTTTTGGAAACTTTAATCACCAATTCAAAACTAATAGAAGGTGGGGCCCAGAAAGTGGCAGTTAGGGGGCTCTACTCTCGTGAATGGATTACTGTCCTGTCAGGGATGTGGGCTGGTTATTGACAGAGTAAGTTCAGCCTTCTTTTGCTCCCTAACTTTTACCTTTTTAGCCCCACTTCCACTTTCCTGCATGAGTAATAATACAGCATGGCCTGATCGCAGCACCATCCTTCAGACTTCCCAGCCTCCAGAACTATGAGTCAAAGAAATCTCTGTTCCTTGTAAATCACCCAGTCTTGTGTGTTCTGCTATAGCCTCACAAAACAGACTAAGGACCCATGGAACACATGAGCTGACATGTATCCCTGTGTGCAGTAACCAACAAGCCTTGGGATCTGATGACATCATACATTCCTTATCTTGATCAAATCCCTAAGCTTAATCTTGTAAATTACTTACAATAGGCATGACATATACCCTGAATTACTTTCTTCTTAAATTACCATCAACCTGGTTTATCATTTGGCATCTTCTCAAATTCTCTGGAGACATCCAAGTCATGATCAAAGGCATTAGTTTGATCACTGCTAGAATAGTGGTCCAACAAGCTCTACTAGAACCTCTCCCTCGCTCTGCTCTGGGCTACTAAGAATTCAATTCTGCAAAGGCTGTGTGTCCTGGGCTAACCCCTAGCCATTATCCCCATCTGACAGCCTCCCTGATAATGCAACTGCCTCCCCCTTACAGTCCCAGCACCCTCCTCCAGGGAGCATTTCCAACACTATTATGCAAATGGAAGAATCTTTCTTGAACTGTATGTTGCAGCATCTCCCCAGCCCTAGAGCAGTCTTTGCAATATATTGAAGCTACAAATCTGTTTGATAACTAAAAACAAGCAGGAGAGTGGAGGTTCGCTGTGGTGGGTGTTCTTAGACTTCTGCCTAGTTACTGTGTCCCTTCATCTAGTGATAGGACAGGTGCTTCCTTCTCTGTTTCTCTGTGATTTCTATTCAGTGTCCTTGGCACTTTGCAGTTTCTTCAGCCCAACAAGAGCTTCCACGTTCTTGGCTTTCTGACTAAATTTCCATTAGTCCTTTTCTGAATCACAGCCCTGTTTCTCCCTAACGCCGTGACCTCATTCTCTAGATCATAATCTGAATGAAAAATGTGGTTTGTGCATAAAAGTCCCTTGCAGCCATACAAGTCCCTTGCAGTCCAGGCCCTCCCAGCAGCAAGTCCATCCACTCACAGTATCCACAACATCTCGGGTAGGATGGGGGACCTCCTGAGAGTGGTGGTGCCACCCCCTGCAGCCTCAGTGAACCAGGCACCTGCAACACTTTCCTGGCTAATAACAGGCCCATCTGCTAGGCTAACAAATTCATCACTAACATCCAATAGCCACACCCCTGTGCCACCCCAGTAATGCACAATAGGATGCCTACCTCACTCCGTATTCCCTGACTTACTGAGATGACCTGAAATGATAAAGATACAAACTACACTGCTCCTTTCAGATTCCAGGTACCTGGGGGGAGTTTTCCTTTCAGTTTCCTTGAATTCCAAGAAATCACACTGTGATCATCCTTTGTGGAGAATGTAGGAAATTCCACACACTCCGTTCTCTCTGCAAATGCATGGAATCTGGAACACGAAGGATGTTCAACATCAGGCATCTGCAGATAAATGCTAATTTTTCTATGACTGTGAAGTTCCTCTTCCTGCTGCTGAGAGTCTTAACCCTAAACATGTTCTCTGTTTTCCCTTCTACCTTGTCATATCTTTTCATGAGAGGGTGATTAGCCCAGCCAAAGGGTAGTTCATAGTCCTGGAAAAATGATCCCCTATTTCTCTGTGTTCTTTTCTTCCATGGTTCCACCAAGTCAAGTCAGTGTTGATGAGTCAAGAGTCTAAACAGGACCCCAAGAGCGACTCCCAATGTCACAAACTCAGGTTTGAAAGCAAGTGATTTGAGCAGTACTGGCTAAATTCACTATTGTTGACCAGATTCAGCTTTCATGCAACACACACACACAAACACACACACACACACACACACACACACACACACACACTTCCCAAGGATCCAAGGATAAGCACTAATGACAAGAACTCTGATATGGACAAGTGTTAAGGCCTGCCCATGGGCTCCCAGCCTGACCATGCCAGCCTCGTCTAGGAGCTTCATCCAGGGCAGAAAGCACCAAGCAGGAAAGTCAGGCAAGGTCTGTCCTGGACGGCCCCACATCCTGAATGCCTGGGCTTTTGATGCCCAGGATTTCCCACTCTCTGGTGTGTTCTCAGATTAGGAAAGGAGAACAGAAAAGTCGGCAGCTTCCTCCTGCTGCTGACACACCCAGGCAGGCACGTGCCACCACTGGAAAAGGCTTTTGCAGAGTCCTTAGAATATAGCACTGAGGTGCACTGGGGGTCCACCCCAAACAGCCTTGGGCATGAAGCAACCAGAATCCAACTGAGGGGGCCACTAGACCTAGGCAGCCTCCTGCAAGCTGAGACACCTGGAAACCACTGTTTCCAGCTGGATGTGAACTGCTCTAGTCAGGCCCAATGGTCCAAGGCACATCAAGAGAACAACCAGGACCACTAGAGCTCTGTAGCTGAACTGCAGCTCCTCGTACCCTAAATTACTCCCTGGGCTTTAGTGTACTCAGAAGGAGCATTCCAGGTGCTGAGAGCACAGCACCAGCAAGAGAGGTGGCCCTTCCAGCCTTCGTTTTCTCTTTCCCATAGAGAAGAAGAGGCAGGGAGGTCCCTTTTGTGCTTGGGTGTTCAGAAACCCAGATCAAAGTCAAGTCTCCTGTCATTCAAGGATTTCAAAGTGATGTAAGAGCAGCCAGAGTAGCGGGCCTCTGAACCTCTGTCTTGTTACAAAGGAAAATTCTGCCCTCTTCAGGATCCCTGGGCCTGTGGCCCTGGCATCTGTATTTGCATCAAGTTCCTTAAACAGTTCTTATGCAAAGTGCTGGGCAAAAAAATGTACATTCCCAGGCTCCTCTCTACTAAGTCGGATCACCCAGCAAGGCAAATCCTAGGCCTCTGTGTAGCTAACCAGCTCCCCTGGCCACTAGGATGAGCTCCTATGCTTGAGATCAAATGCCGCGGGCACTCACTGTATAATTTCAGACAGGCTAACTTAGGAAAGGACTCAATAAATCTCTTTGCCACCACAAAAGTAGGTGGTCTTCTTTCACAGGGGACCTAACTTCACACACACACACACACACACACACACACACACACACACACATTAAAAGAAGAGGCCAACAGATGAGATGACCTCCCCTGCAAAGACAACTTGTCACCCTCAGCTCCTGCTATGGACTGAACTGCACCACCACAGTTGGGGAGAGGCTCTATAAGAAGAGAATAAAGGTTGCATGAATTCGTAAGAATGGGGCTGTGATCTGCTAAGCAACCTCCTGAGAAAAGGAAGAGATGTCAGGTAACTCACTCACTGTCTATCTGTCATTATGTGAGGACACAGTAAGAAGCCACCTATCTTCGAGCCCAAAAGAAACCCTTTACCAGAAACCACATTGGTCTTGACCTTGACCTTCCTGGCTTCTAGAGCTTGGGAAGTACATTTCTACTGCCGAGCTCCTGTGCACAGACCACCCACCACTGCCACCCAAAGCACAATTTCTGCCTACCTGCTGTGGGTCCGGGCACTCAGTTCCTTTAGGAAAGCTATTGTGCCTTCTCCTCTGGCATTGAAGGACACTGTGTGGACCAGACATGGGATTTCCAAAACTCTCTCAAGGAGAAGTTCCTCAAGAACCTTGGGAACCTCCCCCACAATGAAGTAGTAGATGGACTCAATCTGCAAAATAGAGGCACAATGGGTTAGCTCCCTCCCACATCCCACCTGACACTGGACTCATCCGAAAGTTTCTTTAAAAACAATGAGCTAAAAGAACTGCAGCACTGCTCAGTGTTTTGTGAGGACCTAGGAGGCAAGGTCAGCAAGCGAGATGTTTAAGATCTGGTGCCAAGAGGAACTTTAGCAATGGACACTATCTCCAGTACTGGGTAAGAAAAATAGGGTTGGTGGACTTGGAGACTAGCATTCCCTGGGCCCATGAATACATTACACAGGTTAGGAGCAGTTATTTTCAAGTCAGGAAACCAGGGAAATACTGGCACAGCCTCTGTGTGCAGGAAGCTTGTTAGCCATTTCCAAGGCGGTGCCAGAATTCTGCAGTCTGAGCACATCCATCCTCAGTCAGGACAGAAGGCAGGAGGGAGGGCATCGTCCCTGCTGGTTCTTCCTCTGCTTTCATTTCACCAGGGAAGTACATGCCTCGCCAGGCAGATGAGGCTGTCCTGCCTTTATAAGGCTGGTTCAGATCCAAGTCTGTCCCCTAGCCCTCACCCATGTCCTTGTGCGCCACGCCATCACGCCAGCCCGTAAGCAGAATGGGAGATCCATGTGAGGAACTACACGGGCGCGCGCGCACACACACACACACACACACACACACATTTCTTTAACCAAGGCTTCTGAGAGATGCAAGAACCCACCTCACCCAGCTAGGGAACCATCCTCCCAAGTGCTCCCGGCTTAATTTAGAGAGATAAGACGACCACAAAGGGGGCCCTTGCAATGTCTCCCCTAAACTCAGCCACAGCAGTCACTCTTCTGCAGGATGCTGCCTCTCCTGTGTTCACCTTCCCCAGCCACTGAAGAGCTCTGTGGCCTCAGGTACGTGACTTAGCTTCAGTTTCTTCACTTGTAAAAAAAAGAGATGTAGCTTGTTCTTCCTGAGTTCTGAGGTGATTATTTACAAGTGTGTACTTATGCTTATACAATCAAAAGGGGTGTTCAGAACGTATGGTGAATGTTTAAATTTTTAAAAAAATTATTGTGGTAAAAGACTCTGCGTCAGTAATCCCCCTCTAAATATTCTCCCTTGTTTCAAACACACTTATTCCATCATTCTTGTTACTCTCTAAAGCAGTTCCGGAAGTCCTCTTCTATGACTGTCTTTAGGAAGTGTGACCACAAATACAGTGAGGGCTGCTGCTGGTGCCACTCAGTGGAAAGGCAGGCTTATGAAAGCACGACGCTGGCCCTTGTCCACCTTCGTCACCAGATCTGGCACTACGTGGCTTCTGGCAACTCCCCAGAGTCAAAGTGATCATGGAGGGTAAACAGTTTGAATCCATTCGGGACACAAAGGCAGCCACAGCAGTGCACCTGGGGACACCGAGGAAAGAGGACTCCCAGAACCGCTGCAGGCAGTGGCAAGAAAGGCAGGATAAGTGGGGTCAAAGGGAGTGGGAGTGTTCTGTGGGGATAACGTCACTGTGTCTTTTGCTGTAGTAAATTATTTTCAATAGTAACATTCACTGAATGTTATAGATCAGAAAGTAAAAACCCAAGGAGAGCCAGGCATCTTTATCATCTTCACCTCTCCCTAATTGGCTGTTTTCTGCAAATAACCAAGGAACCGATCCCAGTAAACTTATTGTGATTTAAGAAGTAGGTTTTGCCGTCCCTTTAGAATTCATGATGCCTTCTCTACATTAATCCCACTTCCCTGAGCTGAAGACAGTCACCAAGTGGTTGTCCCTTAACTTCAAACCTGGGGTTTAAATTCAGCTGGTATCGAGCTAGGTGGACTTATGGTTGGGCCCCCCATTGGTGAGGAGGCTCTGGAGGGCAGGCTGTACATCCAAGGGGGAAAGACAGAGGTAGGTTGGCAGAGGGTCCTGGCGGGGAGCAGGAGCAGGCTGAGTGGGAACTGAGACCAGTCCTTCAGCCCGGCCCTCCTCCAACAGCTTCTTGGTCCTTTCCTCACCAGCTCCCTACTTTAAAAATGACCTGCTAGGAGGCGAGAGAAGACTGTGTGATTCCTTCCCACCCACCATCTAGGAGGCAGGAGGAGCAAATAGGGAGAAACTTTTTCCAGATATTACTTACTAAGCCATTGAATTACTCTTCCAGCAAATACATTCTACTTTTTTTTTAAATGTATTTAGTACAATGTCTACAGGATCTCATTACAGAGATCGGACTTGTAGTGTCCTTCCTGTTTTCAGCCTCCCAAGCGCTGGGATTACAGGCGCGCACCACCACGCCCAGTCTCAGTCGCTGGCTCAGTGCACCCCAGGGGCAGGGGCAGGGCCAGCACGGATTGTGAGGGATCAAACCTGGTCCTGAGCCTGCCTCAGCAGGCACTTGAATCCGCTGAGCTGTCTGGCCCTCACTCTCCTCTTTTCCTGGTGCTAGCATCGCCCGCACAGGTTGCGCTCAGTAGGCTCCTCTGTTCATCTCTGTTACTCACGAGGCTTTCAATCTGCATCTGGGCCCAAATTGAGCAGGGGGACGGAGTCATGCATCACGGGCACTAAAATGCCACATGGCCCAAGATGGGAAGAGCATCTCCAGCGAGCCCACACATCCCTAAGTGGCCTCGGTGGCTTGGGACACCTCTGCTTGTCTGCTGCACACAGAACTCCTTTGCTCTGGGAATAACCAAAGCGTCTGAATCCATACACAGAAATGCTCTCCTCCCAGGGTTTTGTGAAACTGAAAACTGCTGCAGCCAGCGATGAGTCAGGGATTTCCTCTTGGGCTGTGCCCTTCTTGGTTATTCAGTAACCTCATTACTCAGCCTCAGGACTGAGTGATTCAGTCAACTTTTAGCTCCTGGGGCAGAGCTTGTGTGGAGGCCACCAGCCCCACCCCCACCCTTGCACACACCCTTTCAGCCTCTTGTTTCTGTTCCCTTAGTAACGACATTGAGAAAAAGAGAAAAAAGCAGATGTGTCACCTACCTCGACCCCTTCCCCTACGGCCAAAATGCCTCTTAAAGCAAAATGGCCTCAGTGTTTTCTTCTCTTTGGGATGATGAATTAAAATGATTTTTTTTTTTAATTCAGAAAAGTTGTGTGGATCACGAATTGCTATTATTATCATGCCCAATCTACAGATGAAGAAGCTGAAGCTTGTGTACATGAAGTGACTTACCCTGGAGCTGGGAGACCCAGGGGGTGTGAGTCCAGGGGCCCTGGTTCTTGACCACCATGCTGTGCTGGTTAATGGGAAAACCGGTCTCATGTTAGTGAGGGATGCAAATCCCAGAACTGTGAAAGTTCAGACAGGAGGGGACAGACACATTGGCCACAGAAGTCTCTCTTTGCACTTTCTGGACTCCTCCAGCCCCAAGGGCTCAGCTCCTGCACCCAGGGCCAACACTGCTGACCAGCATGGAGTCCAGGAGGGTGCCTGGCTAAATCGAGCCATCTGCAAGGGAACAGTCTTGCCATCACCAGCACCTTTGTGCCCCTTGGGAGCAAAGCCCCGTCTCAAGGCTCCGACCAGGAGTTGCTTCCTGTCTCTGCCAGCACTTTCCTACTTACTGAGCTGACTAAAATAACGCATAGGTTCCATGCACCCTCTGGAGAGGGAGTCAAAGCCTCTTCCCATTTCATACTACAGACAATAGGGGGAGACTTTACGGTTTCACTGGAAATGTTTGATTTTGTCTGGCCCATGGGTGCTGTAGCTTCCCACAGTAACCCGTGTTATGCCCAGCCAACGAGTTCTTGGCCTCTTCCCAGCTGCAGCTTTGGGTTGGGGAGAATAAACAGACAGGAGTTGGCTGCCTCTGTGCCAAATGCTCCCTGTCAGAGCCTGTTCTAGCAGCCCCAAGGCCTCCGGGTACAAAATCTCTGCTCTTCAAGGAGCAAACATGAATGTCAAGAACAGCAGCAAGAGGCAGGGCAAAGTTGTTCATCTGACTCTGAATGCCGCCACGTTTCTGGCCGACTCCAGACCTTGCATCTAAGCCCCAGGTCCTCCCTGTACCTATGACAGCTCTTTCCTGGTTTGGCCCATTTTGGTTTCCTGGTGGGTGCCCTCCCTGCGGGTGAGCATTCCTCCTGGCACTGATCTAGTATAATCCAAGGTCCTGCCCATCACCCTGACCAGTCTGGCCTCCCGGGCTTCCAGGTCCTTGTCACCCTGTGCTAACCCCACCAGAGTCCTCCACCACTCAGCAAATTCACCATTCTGGTCCTGTACGGACCTCCACCCTTTAATTCAAACTCCCAAGCCTAGTTTGGAGATGGAATCCCTCAGTTCCATATCTAGTTCACAAACCCCAGGATCTGTAGGCAGATGTCCTTCCCTTGAAAGCAAAAGCTCTTCAGCCAGCCTTCCTTGGCAGCCGAGAACCAGAGCTGGGAGTGAACAGCCTTCTCTATCCCCAAAACACTCACACCCTGCATCCATAAGCCTTCCCGAGCCTTCTAGCAGCCCACCCTCCTCATAAAGGCCAGGGAGCTTGCTACCTCTCGAAAGATGTTCATCCCGGAACCCACACCATATTGCAAAGCAGACACCAGGATCCGAGCTCACCTGGGCTCTGAGGATGCCACTCCCCTCACCCACCAGTTACTTCCTCAGTACCCCACAGGGTGCTCTTCCCATGAGCCAGCTCCTTTCCCATGGGATGCAACAGGAGTTTATGCATCAATAATGCTCTGTGAGGGCTATTGCTGCAGCTGTGTTTTAGAGAGACCCTCTAAGGGAAAGGGAGAGACAGACAGAAACAGAGACAGACAGAGATACACAGAGACAGAGAGAGAGACAGAGACACAGAGACACAGAGATAGAGAGAGACAGAGACACAGAGAGACAGAGACACAGAGATAGAGAGAGACAGAGACACAGAGAGACAGAGACACAGAGATAGAGAGAGACAGAGAGAGACAGAGACAGAGATAGAGAGACAGAGACACAGAGATAGAGAGAGACAGAGACAGAGAGAGACAGAGACACAGAGAGACAGACAGAGATAGAGAGACAGAGACACAGAGATAGAGAGAGACAGAGACAGAGAGAGACACAGAGATAGAGAGAGACAGAGACAGAGAGAGACAGAGACAGAGATAGAGAGACAGAGACACAGAGATAGAGACAGAGAGACAGAGAGAGAGACAGAGAGACAGAGATAGAGAGAGACAGAGACAGAGATAGAGAGACAGAGACAAAGATACAGAGAGACAGAAAGACAGACTGAGAGACAGAGAGACAGAGACAGAGACAGACAGAGACAGAGATAGAGACAGAAACAGAGAGACAGAGACAGAGAGAGAGATAGGGAAAGACAGAGAGAGAGAGAGAAGGAGAAAGAGGGAAAGGGAGGAAGGGTGAGAGAGGGAGAGGGAGAGGTTTCTTCCAAGTAAACCTTTGTTTGCTAAGGTCCCTTTTAAAATGCTTCCGTCAATGCATTAGCATATGAAAAATGAACGTGGGAGGGGGCAGCTTGAGTGTACCTCACCTTGGAAAGCACAAGACAGACTGATAGACCAGCTTTGCAGAGGAGCTAGGAAAGTCAAACTGTGGATTCCAGACACCCTAGTCCTCATCCTCCAGGTTCTCGGAGTCCTCTAGCCCCTCTCTGCTTCACACAAGAGACAACTGGGTTTCCCTGACAGGCGGGAGAATCGGGGGTGGAGGTGATGTGTTGGATGCACAGTGATGGTCTGAACTCCTGCTTCCTTGATTCTCGGCAGGTGTGAGCAGTGCTCAGCTCTTCTGGCCCTGGCCACGTGGGGGTCTGCCCTGTGGCCACGATCACTCCAAAGAAAGACTAGCGGGGCTCAGGGGATGTGGAAAACTCATTTTGGCTGGTCCAGCTCTGCTCTCCCCAAAACACCATTTTGATGCCTACTTAGGGTCTAGAATCCATGACTGATCACAAACGCAGGGACAAACAGGATTACAGTTTATGGCATGCCTCAATGCTAAAGTCAGTCAAAAAGCAACATGGAGACACTGAGTGTGCAAGGTCACATCTGAGGCCACCTTGGTGGCCTGGGCCAGCCATGGGTGACACTTACATTTTTGTCTTTCCCAGCTTCCAGCAGGGCATCCAAACGGCTAACCCCACTCATAGTCAAAGGCTCAAAAGTGAGTTTTTCAATCCAACTGATGGCAGCAGCTATGGATTGCGGGGTCGCAGGCATGGCATGTTCCTGCCACTTCACAGGCACTTGAGCAGCCCTGAAATCAATCACATGGAGTGGTCACAGGCAGGGATCACTGCCACTGCTGCAGAGTCAGCCCTCAGGCTCAGAACCAGGTGCAGCGAGCCCGGTGGCGCCAACAACAAAGAGAGAAAGCACAGCAGTCACAGCCCCCGGTCCTCAGAGAGCCACTAAAAAACATGCGCTGCATAAGCGAGATCTGCCTCATTAAGGAAAACGTGCTTTCTGAATGCACAGCATAATCCCAAGCACCACTGTCTTCTCTACACTGACTAGGAAAAAACGATGTTTACACGAGAATTAAAATACCCAAACATTGGACCAATGAGATAGCTCAGCAGACTAAGCACCTGCTTAAGCAAGCACAGGGACCATGGGTCCATCTCTGACCCCACATGCCACACTGATCCCGCCCCCAGGCATGTTGAGCCAACCACAGAGACCGGGCACCATGGTGCACACCTGTAATCCCAGCACTGGGGAGGCTGAAACAGGAGGATCACTACGAGTCCGAGCTGCGTAGTGAGACCCTGCACCAAATGCAGAAAGAAAAATAAAATTAACAAGTGCTTTAGAAATATTGAAGTTATTTTCATAAGTAGGCAGGTTTATATGAAATGGTCTTCTATAAACAGCAAGTTTATAACAATACACAGTACTGAAATTTTGTTAGCTGGTAACAGTGTCACTGCTCTAAATTTTTATTTATAATTCTTTTATGACTTTTTTTTTGCCCTGAAGGATTTCCATCAGTTACTTTTGGGGGGGGTTAAGAAAATGGTATTGCATTGAGATTAGCAGTGCTCATTTATAAATCTGGAGAAAATGTGGTCGAATTATTTAGTTTGGGCTTAGAAATGATTGGTAAAAGTACCAAGCTTCAAGAAGAGGAGCCATTTAAATTTTTCTGGTTTATAATTGCAAATAAACTGGTCTGGTGTCCCTCCCAGCCCACCTGCAGATGTAGAGCTGGCTCCCACTGTAGCCCCTCTTGTGGTTTCTCTGGATAGAGAAATCTATTGGACGATACATGTGCCACAGGAAGCAGTCCAAGAAGGCAAGGAAAGGCTTTGATTTAACACTTCCTTCCTTCAATAATATACCTATGGCAGAAGCAGGAATCCCAGGGTGGGGGAAGAAACCACCATCTCCAAAGATGCCTTCTATTAAACTGAAAGTGGTATTTAAAGAGGAAAAGCTCAATTAGGTTGCCTCCCCCCAACAGATGTTTCTCCCAGGGAGGTGTGACCACTGTTCCCTGTTCCAAACGAGAGGCCGGCAGGGAAGTCCAAATTCTCCTGAATCCAAGAATCCGTAAATGATTGATTTGCAGACTCTGAAATCCGAGAAATTCTATAAAGCAGGCACCTGTTGGTCTAATTAAGGGGGTCAACTTGAGATGTGAATTCAGTGTGGGAAAACAGTAAAGTCTGTGGCCTTTGAATTCATTATCCAAGCTAAAATCTAAAACAAGTCAAGAGATTTATGGCCTTAAATATGCATTGAGTAAGAATATATAATTCATAGCCTAATATTTTGACCTTCCCAGGGATTGAAGAAAAAATGTGTTTCTAATCTGGTAATGTGAAAACTAAGATGCCTTCTGCAAAACAGATAAAAATTTCCTAAGATTTATTCATCGCAGGCTTTCTACTAAAATCATACATTCTAAGAAATTCTAATACCTCCTCGCTCACCGTAGCACTTTGCTAGCAAGGCTACTTAACTCCAACTATGTGCAAGTCGCTATGAAATCTCACTGAGATAAATGCTTCCTCTGGGAACTCACCATATGATATTGAACTTGGTCACGTGGACCACCTGCTCCTGGAGGACCATTGTCAGAGCGGCTTGGCATAGACCGAGCTCCCCCTCCAGAATGTCGCCCCAATCCAGCACTATGGTGATGCGTTTTTCTAAGATGACGCCAAAAATCTGCCGGCTCCTGCTGGTGAGCCAGTCCATCCGCTGCTTGTAACTCTCCACGGCTTGGGCTAAGTGATCCACAAGCTGACGGATCAGCTCTGATTTAGCTGTCAGCTTAAGGGAGACAAAAGGCAAAAACAAAAACACAAAGATGACCCCAAAGGCAGTCAGAGGAACCACAGTGCCACCATCAAGAATAAGAATAGTTCTGTCCATGGCCCTGTGACCCCGCAGGACCCAGCAGCAAGGGCTCTAGTTTTACAGCTGAAAACCCTTTGGCTACAGGTAGTGATCTACTTAAAATACAGTCCTCTTTTTTATTTCTTTAATGTTTCTAGATCATATTTTTATCTTTGCAGATTATCAGAAAATACCTAGGGGCACTTTTAAGAAGTTAAATAAAAACAAGAGATGAGCAAAGGCAGATAAAAAAGGGAGTCTCACTAAAAAGTTTCCCCAAGTACTACATGCCAAAATGGTTCTGAAAATGTTTGTCAACGTACCAGCACACCTGCCCGTCTTCCTCCAAGGGAGGCCGGCCAAGTTACTCATCTTCCTGCACATAACCTTTGTCCCTGTGTCCTCTGTCTCAAAGACCAAGCCTCCCTATGTCTGGGTCACTCATTTACAGCTGCCACCAGCACCTTGGGACCCTCTGAAGGTGGCAGAGACTTGTGGGCAATTTCTCCCACGTACACATAAATCATCCTTCACAAAAGTCAGGCACAAGGGCACAGAGTTGCTCAGGGTGTAGGGAAGTAGAAGAGGTGAAAAAAAGAGTGAGAAAAAGTATGTAATGAGTCAAATTTTAAAAGAAGGTCTGGTACCTTTTAATTAGCATTAACAATTCCCAGAACACCCTCAAACACCCAAACTGTTAAGGGTTTGCTTTCTGAATGCGTGGTGCAATTCCACATCTTCATGCCACATTGCTTTAAACTCTCCCCCCAGCCCCCTCCAGGTCTCCCCCAAGCTCCTTGCTCAGCTGTGCCACCTCTGCTCAGGGCCCCCAGAGCAGGACTCCTGACTCCCTCACTGGCTTCCACAGCCTGTGCCACCCCCACACACAGAAAGCTAACAGGACAGCTCTCAGGGATGTGGATGTGGACTTCAGCAGCAGAGAGACAGACGTTTTTCATAGGTAGGTAGGGATTTTAAATGAGGTTCAGTCTAAACATAGATGTAGCAACCCAAACTCAAGATTCCATACAGAGTCTCAATGTCAGACTTCATTTAAAAAAATAATTTAGATTTTTTAAAAACACAGCCCTCCGCGCCCATGGGCTCAGCGTTCTCAAGATTCAACTGACCTGGGATAGAAAATATGCAAAGCAAACTGCTTCTCCATTGACTATGGACAGACTTTTCCTGGTCATCCTGCCCCACATAACATAGTGCTACAACCGCCTGCATAGCATTTACATTGTATGAAGTATTACAGGTCATGGAGAGGTGGCTTAAAGTACACTGGAGGGTGTGTGTCGGATATGTGCAGATACTGTATCACGGCAAGTGATGGACAAGAGCATCTGGGGTCTGCCAGGGCTCCTGGAACGACTGCCTGTGGACCCCAAGCGACGACAATTAGGAATACCTTGACATGCACAGTTATGGAGAACACAGTGGGATCCGTGTCTCCAACAGACTGTCAACTCCCTGTCATGGGCCCGGGCCCGACCTGTGTCGGGGCACAAGATCCACAGGCTGAGTCGCTGGGAGCGGAGGACTCCAGGCAGATTTGCTTCTCACATGCTCCTCTTCCACCTACCTCGGTCAGGCCATCGTAGCTTGGGCCTGGCTCTCATCTCACTTCAGAGATTCCTGTCTCCCCCCACCCCTTATGTTTGAGGCAAAACAAAGTGTTGATAGGCAAAACTTCTCATCTCTGAGCCACAGCATTCTTCAGTAATCTTTTACAGCTCAGAGGCATCCTTTGCCAACTCCTTGGCCAGGACTTTTATTACTCTACCACTGCCCAAAGAAAATCTTCAGCCTGAACCTCCCAGCCGGTGGTGACCTGCTGCAGCCTCGGCATTGTGTCCCAGAACCGACGTATCGACAGACAGCACTTACGTTGTACACTCGGCCATCTTCTGCCCCGTAGATCTGTGGGAAGAGACCATCAGCATACCGAGAAGCCACAGATCTCCCCAGAGACGACACATAATCTGCATTTTTATGAAGAAAAACAACCAAGATGGGCAATTATCAAAGCTTCTTATTTATGTTCTAAAATAATTCTTCTGACACCATTCAAACCCCAGAGCTGCTTTGTATCCTATTCTAAATTATTTCTAGGGGCTGTGATAAATGTAACTTTATGGCATGTGATCTTTTCACGCATGAATGAATAAAAAGGAGGAACAGAGTTCGCTTCCTGGTTCTTCTGTGGGGAACGATTGAAGCAGAGGTAAAAACCAACACAGCGTGTTTAGTTCATGAAAACTTTACTCAAGGCTTGTACTTGTCTTTCAGAACTCTTTTTTTGTGCTGGTCATTTACATGCCATTCCAGTATCTACCTTATGTTTTACTCTTAGTACTTCTTTGCTATCATGAAAACCTTCTTAGTTCAATTGTTTTTGAAACATTTAATTTTTAATTAATTAGTATTTAATTTTCTGAATATTGCTTAATCTTAATTTTTGTCCTAAGATTTATACTATATCTTTGACTTACAATTTATTTAAAAGACATTGTATGATATCTTCTCCTAGTATTAGAAACTTTAAAAAAGTATATTTCCATTTTCTGTTGACTTTATATTACTTCTTCCCTGTCTTTTATACACACATACACACACATGCATATGGGGAAAAAAAATACGTGTATAACCCAACATAAGATTGGTACTGTTTCATAGAAATCTGCAATGGCCTTTAAATAAGGGTTCATCTAATGTATCTTTAATATAGTCCTGCATAGCTATCATATTGAGAGCTCTTTATTGTTCGTCCAGGAACATACTGCAACTTCTCTTGCCTTTTGAATTATGCTCTTTGTTATTTCCTATATGCTACTTCTGGAAGTATTAAAATATTTCAAGTTTATATAACTAGAAAATCTTACTTTTAGTTTTCAAAGGTATGTTTGCTAAGCATAAAATTCAAAGAGGACAAATCTTTTCTTTCAGTCCTTTAATTAATCTAGTTTCTTACACACTTGATCCTTTTTTTTCTTTCTAATGTGGAATAAGATGCTATTTAATTTTGTTCTTCCATAGCTAATATTTTTATGTATATGTTTTAATGATATTTTTCTTTACAATAAGTTTTAGACAATTTCATTTTTGTGTATCTTGGTATGATTTTATTTAAATGTCTTTGCAAAGGTTCATTTTTCTTGGAAATGTGGTATTATAAGTTGAACTAAATTCAGAAATTTTAAATCTTTAAATAGTATTGCCTACTCCTTTCTACTTTGAGAATTCTAATTATATGAATATAAGTTTCTTGGTTTTGACACTGAACTATTATGACTGATCTGTAAATTCTTTCTTCATTTTTATTTTAGACAGTTTTTATTGTTATATTCATTTATGTTTGTAAATAATTTATTTTCAATTTGCAATCTATTAAAAAATAAAAATAAAAAAATAAAAAGAACTCTTTTCTAATGCAAGTTTATTGGTATGATCTCGGTGCACAGAACGGCCAAGCTCATAGGGAATTTGCGGCAGTGTGAGCCGTATATTCTTTTCTCTTTTCCCCAGTCCCATCCCTCTTTTCAAACCTCCTTCTCCTCTTCATTTATAAAGCTCAGTTTTTATTTTGTCTTTGTTTTCTTATATGTTTCATTCCCTTCCTTTCTTTCCCCTCCCTCTCTCTATTTTCCTTTTGAATAATTCCTTCCTATTTCAGAGCTTTAAAAATTCAACTTACAGACTACCTAAAGTTATTTCAAGTGGAGGTATAAGACTAAAGGGTAAGACAAGGCAGGCAAGAAATAGATTCAAAATAGCCAAACGCAGTGAGAAACACAAGACTTCCTACTCATTAAATTACATGTTCAAAAGGGCTGGCCAAATAGCTCTGCGGATTAAAGCGCCTGCTTAGGTAGACTCAGGGGCCGGGGGTTCGATCCCTGGGGCCTGCCATGCCAGCCCCACCCCCAGGGTACTCTGAGACAGTGATTGAGACTGGGCATGGTGGCGCGCGCCTGTAATCCCAGTACTTTGGAGGCTGTAAACAGGAAAATCACTATGAGTTCAACCTATGCGCTAAACATAGAAAAAAAAAAAATCTGTGTTCATCTGTGCAAGCACTCAAGGCACTTGCATTCATTGAGCACTCGCAAGCACTAGGTCAGGGCTGACAGGATGGGAAGCCGGCGCTGTCTGAAACACATTTCTACTTCATGGAACTTCCAGGAGGCTTCTGAGGCTGGAAGGACTTGGCAGGGCAAGGAAGGGGGAAGCTTCACCGAGACATCCTGATCCTGCCGCTGCTGGTGTCACTGTGCTTGTCACTGTCCTCAGTATTATTACCGATCACTCCCGAAGGTGGTGCTCTTGATCTTGGCCCTCCCTTTCTTCTGCCTTTCGAGAAAGGCAGGTTAACAGCCTACTCTGGAAAGGCAGGAAAGTCAAGGCTGAATTTTATTGTCTCCCTGGCCAGGCTTGGTCCCAAACACAAGGGGTGATAAAGTTTACAAGTTTCAAAGTCTAACTCTCACCATAGTAAAGAGTGAAGAACGGAAACTTGAGTTGCAGCAATAACCCAGCTCAACAGACCCCTCAGAGTCTAACACCTATTTCCAAAGTTTCAACTCCTGCACGTGAACGAAGGAACTTCACATCAGCAGCGTTCACCTGGGCTCGAGGGGTTCTTCCTTGAGGCTTGGGGGAGCTAAGTCTAGGGAAAGCCTAATAAGCTGTACTAAGAGTCGAAATGCAGGGATGTTGTGAGTTCTGTGGTCGATGATGGTAGGATAGATCTTACTGGCTAACCCTTATTCAGTGACAAAGTCTGGACAAAGTGTATTATTATTATTATTATATCATACAAAGTCTCATTAGACAGCTCAGACTTGTAGTGATCCTCCTGTTTGCAGCCTCCCCAGCACTGGGATCACAGGTGTGTGCCACCACGCCCGGACTCCCTGGCCAGCTCAGTGCATCCAGGGGCGGGGCCAGAGCGGCATGTGGCGCTGGGGACTGAATCCCAATCCCTGCACTTGCCTAAGCAGGCGCTTAGTCTCCTGAGTTACCTCGCCCACCCTTAAGTGTATTATTACTCAGCATTTGAAGGCCTTAGAGAATAATCACAAACAGCCAGAAACTGGAATAGCCTTTGTCCTCAAAAGGAAAACACTGACTAGTGAGATCGGTATTTATTCAATGGGAGAGAAAGAATTTAAACTTTGGGTTTAGCCAAGCGAGATGCCTGCTAGAATACAGACCACCATCATCTGCTGACGGGCATGGAAGCTGTGTCCAACATTTAGCTACTATGAATCGCACTGCTATAAACATGGATATGAATGTATCCGTGTACCATGACCACTTCAGCTCTAAGTACCTAGAAGGAGAAGAGCTGACTCAAATGGAATTTCTATTTTTAGGTTCTTGAGAAATCTCTGTACTGATCTCCACAGTGGTTGGACTAGTTTACATTCCTACCAACAGTGCAGGATTCCTCCATCCGTCCCCATGGCCTTGCCAGAATTTGCTATTATCTGACTTCTTGGTAATAGCCATTCTTTCTGCGGGAAGATGGAATCTCAGGGTTGTTTCAGTTTGCTCTTCTCTAATGCCCAGTGATGTTGAACTTTTTTTTCATGTATTTATTGGCCATCTGTACTTTTTCTGAGACATGTGTTATTAATTTTGACAGCCTGTCTTTTTAATTGGGTCTTTTATTGGGTTAATTCTTTGAGTTCTTCATATATTCTAGATGTTGTATATTCTAACTGAGGAACAGTTGGAAATAGTTTTTCCATTCTATAGGTTGTCTCTCCATCTTGTTTGGTGTGCAGAAGCTTTTAAATTTGATACGGTCCCATTTGTTGATTCTCAGTATTCTTTCCTGTGGTATTGGGGTTCTGTTCAGAAAGTCTTTGCCTATGCCTATGTCTTTTAGCGTTTTTCTTTCTTTTTTTTTTTAACCTATTTTATCTTCCAGGAGATTAAATGTTTCTTAGGACTTAAATGTTTGACCTATTTTGATTTTAACTTAGTACATGGTGAGATGTATGCGTCTAGGTCCAGCTTCTACATGTGGGTGTCCAATTTTTTTAGCACCATTTATTTAACTTTTTTTTTTTTTTTTTTTCAGAACTGGGGGTTGAACTCAGGCCCTTGCGCGTGCCAGGGAAGTGCTTATTCCACTGAGACATCTTCCCCGCCCCTTGCACCATTTATTTAAAAGGCAACATTTTCTCTAGTGTCTGTTTTTGGCCTCTTTGTGAAAGATCAAGTAGCTGAATACATTTGGAATTTTTTCTGTTTCTCTCTTCTGTTCCATTGATCCACATGTCTGTTTCTGTGCCAGTAATATGCAGGGGTTTTGTTTTTTTAATCACTGTAACTTTGTTGTGAAATCCAGGGCCGAAATCCCCCTGCTTTGCTCTTGTTACCAACGTTGTTTTTCCTATTCTGCTTGTCTTCCAGTTCCATATGCATTTTAGGATTATTTTCTCTAGATCTGTGAGGACTAACACTGTTGGTGTTTTGATTGGGATTGCATTAAATTTATATATCAGTGTTGGAAGTATGGGCATTTTCACCATATTGGTTTTGCTATCCAGGCACATTGATCAAAACATTTTTTTCTATTTTTTTATATCCTTTTTAGTCTCCTTTTTCAGAGTGAGGAGGTTTTCACTGAAGTGGTTTTTCACTCCTTGGTTAAATTAATTCCTAAGTATTCCATTTTTCTTGATGCTATTGTGAATGCTATTGTCTTTCTAATTTCTTTCTCAGTGAATTCATTATTAGTGTTCAGGAACAGTAATGATTTTTGTATACTGATTTTATAACTTGTTACTTTGCTGAATTTGATTATTAATTCTAGGAGTCCTGGGGAAATTTTTTTATGTATTTAGTACAGGGTCTCATTACATAGATCGGACTCGTAGTGATCCTGTTTTCAGCCTCCCAAGCACTGGGATTACAGGCACTCGCCACCATGTCCAGTCTCAGTCACCATCTCAAGTCTCCCCAGGGGCAG